TCGTTTCTGATCTCTTTCCCTCACTAAAACCCTAGATTTTCCCTCATCTCTCCCTCTCACCACCTCACTCCGTTCGTCCACCACCACCAATCCACCACCTCACTACTTCCTGCTTTCCTGCTTTCCTACTTACCACCTGTGTTCCGTTCGAGTGTTCCAACGCCTGCCGCCGCTGACCACCTGTTCGAGTGTTCCGGTATGCTTTAATTTCAATATTTCATATTTCACTTCTCTTTTCCTGCTCGAATTGCATGTTTTCTTTGTTATTTTGAATTTCAGATTTCACTTGCACTTCTCTTTTCCTGCTCGAATTGCATGTTTTCTTTGTTATTTTCGAATTGGTGATAGATTGTTTTCTTTGAATAGTTATTATGCTCGAATTGTATTATGCTCGAATTGCTGATATTCCTTCAGAGTTCAGAATATATGTTGTTCTATTATAGTATTATGCTCGAATTGCATGTTTTCTTTTTGATAGATTGATTGTTTTTCATAGATTTGCATAAAAATTGTTGGTTATTGAGTGAGTTCTTTTTTCTGTTTTAAATCAGATTATCAGAATGTCCACAAATATGGATAATGTTGAAGGGAATGTCCCTATTGAGGAGCATGAATCTGACAATGAAAAATCCAAACCCAAGAGGAAGAGAATGAAGGATCGTTCCGAGGTTTGGGAGCACTTTATCAAGGAAGAAACACACACTGGAATGGAAGCACGTTGCAAGTACTGTGGTATGAGATACAAGTGTGGTACAAAGAGAAATGGCACTAGTCCATTGTGGGCTCATATAAATAGATGCCGTAAGTACCCCTATAATACTCCTAAAGAATCAAAACAAAGTTTGTTGTCTTTCAAAAGCAATAAAATTGAAAGTGGTTGTACTAGTGGATTGTCTTATGTGAAATATGATCCAACTGTAATTAGAAAAGCTTTATCTGAGATGGTTATAGTTGATGAATTGCCTTTTAAGTTTGTTGAGGGAGTAGGCTTTAAACAATTTTGTAATGTAATGGAGCCTAGATTTCATGTCCCTTCCAGAATTACTGTGGCTAAAGATTGTTATGAAACTTTTTTAACTCAAAAAAGAAAGCTGAAATTGGTATTAAAAAAGTGTAACTCAAGGGTTTCATTAACAACCGATACATGGACATCTATTCAACAAATTAATTACATGTGCTTGACTGTTCACTTTGTTGATAATGACTGGAATTTGCAAAAACGTATTCTGAATTTTTGTCCTATATCAAGTCATAAGGGGGAGGAAATTGGGAAAGAAATTGAGAAATGTTTGCTTGATTGGGAACTTGAGAAAGTATTTTGCATAACTGTTGATAATGCTAGCTCAAATGATACCGCAATAGGATATATGAGAAGGAAAATAAATGGTTGGAAAGCTGGGGTTCTTAAGGGTCGGTTCCTTCATATGCGTTGTGTTGCTCATATTGTGAATTTGGTTGTGTCTGATGGCTTGAAAATTGTTAATGAGTCTATTACTCGTGTGAGACAAGCTGTAAGATTCATCAAACAATCCCCTTCTAGGTTGGTAAGGTTTAAAAAATGTGTTGTGGAAGAAAAAATCAACTCTAAAAAGTTGTTGTGCCTTGATGTGCCTACTAGGTGGAATTCCACCTTTTTAATGTTGGATGCTGCTTTGGTGTTTGAGTATGCTTTTGAGAGGTACTCTGAGGAGGACCCTCATTATGTGATTGAGTTAAATGAGAGGGAGGGGAAGGGCTGCCCTACTTCTGAGGATTGGGAAACAGTCAGAAGGTTTTCTGAATTTTTACAAGTCTTTTATGATCTTACGTTGCGTGTCTCTGGGTCTTTGCATGTGACTTCCAATTTATTTTTCCATGAATTGGTGAGTGTTGCTGTCCTTTTGAAAGATTTGATGACAAATGATGATGTGGAGATGTGTCTTATGGCTACTAAAATGAAGGAGAAATATGACAAATATTGGGGTGATCCGGAGAAAATGAACATGCTGATTTTTATTGTTGTTGTGCTTGATCCTCGTTATAAGTTAGATTATGTTGAGTGGATGTTAATTGAAATTTATGATTCTAATCATGCATTTGTTTTGGTGAATAATTTGAAAGAGTCTTTGAATGCATTGTATGAGGAGTATCGTGGTTCTTCTGGTGATGTGATTAGGGAGGAAGTGTCCTCAAGTATGGACAGTTCCCAATTTTCTCCCAAACAAAAGAAGCTTCAGGTATTGAAGAGTAAGTATAAGAAACATAAGTGTGAGAAAGATGGAGAAGCAAAAATTGAGTTAGACAAATATTTAGAAGAGGAAACGGAGGAGGAATGTGAAAATTTTGATATTTTGGGGTGGTGGAAGTTTAATAGTGCTAGGTTTCCAACAATTGGAAGAATGACCCGTGATATACTTGCTGTCTCTATCTCAACAGTAGCCTCTGAGAGTGCATTCAGCACTGGTGGTAGGGTTCTAGACCCATTTAGGAGCTCCTTAACTCCAAGGGTCGTTGAAGGACTTGTTTGTGCTCAAAATTGGCTACGTTCTTCTCCCTTTCCTAATATAGAAGAGTGTTTACAAGAAGTTGAAGATCTTGAAGAAGGTAACATAAAACAACAATTATCATGTTATTTTTTTTCATTATTTCATATATATTATGTAACTTGTTTATTTTTTTTTAATGTTATTAGACTTGAGGAATATGACAATTGGTGGTCAAAACCCGGACTTGGTTGAGCTTGATTGAGAGTTAGCTGCCAAGAATGAAGCTGCCCTATTGATTGAAGACTTGAAGTTTCTGCCAAGAGCCTAAGAATGAAGCTGCCCTGTTGGTTGAACTAGTTCATTTGTGGACTGTTTGTCTGTTTTATTATCAATTCATCGTGTGGACTGTTTTGATAGTTTTAAGACTTGTTAAGTTCTTATGTCTCAATGTGGACAATGTGTAAGTGTATTTAATTACTATGGCAGTATGGCTGGACAATTTAGTTACTATGGCAGTATGGCATATGGTTGTGACTTGTGAAAGTTGTATGTTAAAATTTATGCTTTAATTTTGTTCAGGAACAGGTACAAAATTTAGGCCTTAAAAGGCCCAAAATTATATGCCCAATAAAAAGCCCAGATTTTAAGGCCCAATACAGCAGCCCATAAAAATTCGGTTTGGATTGGATTTAATTCTCAAAACCGAATTATTTCGGTTTGGATTGGATTGGATTGAATCCAAATTCGGTTTGGATTCGGTTTCAAAAATCCGAAACCGAAATAATTCGGTTTGGATTCGGTTTGGGGTGTAATCCAAACCGAATACCGAACTTTCACCCCTACAGGTCACACCGTGTGGCCTGCTGCCAAATCAGTAAAAATAACGAATTGCGCGCGTATAACGGGATTATTGTTCACTCGTATAACGGGGTTAATGATTTTGTCAGGGTTACTTGTATTTTTTTTTCAGAGGTTACTTGTATTTTTTTTCAGGGGTTACTTGTATTTTTTTTTTCAGGGGTTACTTGTATAGATTACTTATTCAGAGGTTACTTGTATTATTCGGGGGTTACTTGTATTTTTTTTTTAGGGGTTACTTGTATGGATTATTTATTCAGGGGTTACTTGTATTTTTTTTTTCCAGGGGTTACTTGTATTTTTTTCAGGGGTTACTTGTATTTTTTTTTCCAGGGGTTACTTGTATGGATTACTTATTCAGAGGTTACTTGTAATTTTTTTTTTCAAGAGTTACTTGTATTTTTTTTTCAAGGGTTACCTGTATTATTTTTTTCAGGGGTTACTTGTATGAGTTACTTATTCAAGGGTTACTTGTATGAGTTACTTATATGAGTTATTTCAAAGATTACTTGTATGAATTACTTATTCAAGGGTAACTTGTCACTTATTCAAGGGTTGCTTGTAAGCCCCACACCAAAACAGTAACACCCTACAAGTAACCCTTGAGCAAAACTAGTAACACCCTACAAGTAACCCCTAACCAAATCAGTAACACCCTACAAGTAACCCTTAAGAAAAACTAGTAACACCCTACAAGTAACCCCTAACCAAACCAATAACACCCTACAAGTTACCCTTGACCAAAACCAGTAACACTTTACAAGTTACCACTGACCAAAACCAGTAACACCCTACAAGTAACCCCTGACCAAACCAGTAACACCTTACATGTAACCCCTGGCCAAACCAGTAACACCCTACAAGTACCTCTGACCAAACTAGTAACACCCTACAATTTGACGTAGAATATTCGTTTTAAGATTCCACGAAGAAAACGAGCTCACATTTCTTTGGTTCTCATCGAATTCAGTACTTCAAATATTGTTGATGATTTTAAGGATAATTAATCACAATTTTTCACAGCAATTTGACACCCAATTTCTACAATTTTGGGCTTTAATTGCAGCAATTTGGCAAAGAGGAGAGAGAAAATGGGTGGAATAGAGATATGGTTGTTGGAAATGTGTGGTTTGGTTTGTAGATGAAGCTAAGAAAAGAGGAGAGAAAATGGGTGGAGTAGAAATATGGTTGTTAGTGATGTGTAGTTTAGCTTGGAGAAGAAGATAAGAAAAGAGGAGAGAGAAGAGTTGTGATATTTAAAAAAATAATAATAATAAAAATTGTGGCTGGCCACACCGTGTGGCCAGCCACATACAAAAATTTGTGTTAAGAAATTGAAGTTTATAATACCATTAATCACGTTTTAGTTTTAACTTTGATAATTCAAACCATATTAAAAATTATGTAAAACATAATAATATGATCATCAAATAGGATCAGACAACCAAACTTTTATTAAAAGGTCTAATCATGTTATTTCAAGTTTAGATATACCTCAATACATATCCCATTAAAATCCGATTCATTAAAGATAGTAACAATTTAAATAACGTAAATAATCCCGATCTAATCAAACATTAGACAATCATCAACATAAATACATAAGTTACTTCTCCTGCAAAAACCATTGGTTTAGGATTCTTAAATCTTATAAATAACTTTAAAAAATTGAATTAAATCAACAAAAATTAATAAAAACAATGTTATTATAAAAACAAGAACAAAGTGAATCTACAAGATTACATCTCTTCTCAGTTCTCAAGACTTCTCACTAACTAGATCAGGTTAGAAACTAAATAAAGGGCCTTGTAACAATTTTTTTTGGGCCTGAAATATTCTCTCCATTTTTTTTTTCATCTCCTTAATAATAATAATAATAATAATAATAATAATAATAATAATAATTTGGAGAGCATAGAATATGTAAATATCTGACTTTTCTGTCATCAGCCAAATAGATTCTTTGGAAGGTATTGACCCAAAATGCCACGTGTGGGAAATGGGCAAATTGTACTTATAACAGCCCAAATACCCAAAAAACACAAATGTAGGGCCCACATTTGGGTTGCCATACCTCTTCACCTCACCTGTGCTGTCTATTTCTCCTCCATTCCTTTGCCTTTGGGACTCTCTTTTTCAGACTTAAATCATGAGCACTACTACCAGTTGTACATCATTTTTAATTGATTTTTGGTAGAATATAAATATAATACTGTATGAGAGAATAATGCCTGAAATTATGGGATTTTCTACCCCCTCATTTAGTTTCATCATACAGTAATTAAACATGTCATCACCCTTCCTCGGTTTTGGGGTGCTTTTCAAAATCCCGGGATTAAATTTTGTTTACATCAGTGCCTTGTAAGACTCTACGGCTCTCTTTACACCAAAAAATAAATTATCCCCCCAATCTTTTTGGGTTTAATGTAATGTTGGTGTAGTAAGTTTGACCTCTAGCAAGTTGGGGGGTTGGATAGAGGGCACGTCACATCTTGTGATCTTATCTTAGCCGATTATTACTCATTTGGTTGACATCTTGAGGGAAATTCATGTCCTGTTACAGCCCACATGGTGCAATTATTATTATTAGTGCCAAAAAATAGTAAAAAATAAATACATATAGCAATTAAAAAATTTCACATCATATAGTATATTTGTAGAAATTTTAATAAAGCATAAACAGGGAAAAACAGAGTGAAGCATAACATTTTGTCCATTCCAAAAGTTATGGCAAATCCAATCAAATATCATTTCAAAGTGTTAAATAAAATATATACCCCCACTTGTATGCATGTATGAATATTCACCACTCCTAATTTTCAACTCTATATATATTTAAACAAGTCACGCATGTGCCAAACAATTCTCATAGGTCCACAAAGAAATTATAGGTATCTCATCTTGGTGCAATTCGAAATTTCAACTATCATTTAGGTTGTCCATTTCAAAATATTAGGCCACTTTCTATTAATAAGCCGAAGGGTCTGAATCGATATTATGATCATATCATTTCGTTAGACAAGACTGGTACACCGGGGTACGATGAAGTTAAACCTTCAAACCTAATATCCATGGAGAACTATAGTCAGAAAAGGACTAGGTTTTATCATGACAAACAACATGGTTTTCACAAAGGTTATCAAAGTTTCGAAGTTAAAGTAAGAAATTTATTTGGCAAAGGAGTGGAAAATTCAAATAATAAGCTAGAGAGAAAGATGTTGGGGCAATTTGGTGTTATATTAAGGTGTTAAAGTGACGTATCAACGAAAACAAACCCATAGATAATTACAGATGAGGTATGGAACATGTATAACCTACACAAATGTAGTTAGTGGACCACCTGGGACCAAGATGCTATACACACAAAAGTTGAAAACAATAATAATGATAATAATTTCAAATACTTCCTCCGTTTCTTAATACACGCAACAAGTTGACTTTTAATGAGCGTATTAATAAAGTCAACTTGCTGCATATAAAGTCAACTTGTTGCATATAATGTGTATTAAGAAACGGAGGCAGTATTAGGACGTCGTATTAAATGAAATAATATTACCATTAATTGTTTAATAAACCAACCCCACTACATAAACTAGGGGCCATCTATGTATATGGTTTGTGGTCCATGGCTAAGCTGTACAAAAGAGGCACATGATTATGTAACCCCGCCATTGGTACGCGTGAATTTATAATGTCAACACTATCGTACCTCCCATTTTACTTGGAATTTCACATGCTTACAAAACTAATCCCCCTCACCTCCCTTACAACAAAACAAATGTTTTTAATTTGTTTTGTTTTCCCTCTATCAAGGGAAATTTGGCCCATCATCTATAACTACTAACAACTTGGATGCAAGAAAATAAAATATCACCTGAGATGTCATGCGAATGCAACCCTACAAGAATCCTATATAATTCATGGTTACATGTCTTTTTACTATGCCTCGTTAATCTGTCAAAATTCTAATCGTGTTCTAATACCATGAAGTATGAGTACTTGGCGAGGGTCAAGGTCAGATAAAGATGAGAAGTTTATTATTAGATCCCTCTTTAAATACAACTCTTATGTTTTTAAGGATAAAGATTAAGCGTTCAATTTACACTAATTGTCCTAAAAATCTTAAAAGTATCCCGAAAGATCCAACCCACCTCTTAACGGAATAATAGTACACTATTAGATACCCAACAAAAAAATAAAAGAGGGTAGGAAAATGCAAAAAAAAAAAAGCCAAGAAATGGAAAACATTAATTTCCTATCCCAAAAACACACTACACTCACTCCCATCCAATCTTAATCCTGTAATCTGAGGATGGACCCTGTAAAATGAGAGGCAAAGCCCCACAACCCTGACCATTCCCCCATCTCACCCTTTGAAAATGACACCCCTCGATTCTTCCTTAATGTAGGAAACTCATACACGGCAGATATAATTGACACTTTCAAGTCCAACCAATGACTCATTATATACCCCCTTTCATACAAAAAACAAATTGTAAAATTAAATTCCATTTACTCCTTTGGTCCATCCCATACAAATCTCCTTATTCCGGCAAAAAAATATATAAAAAGTTGATATTTTAAAAACTTATATTTAATACTCAATACTATTTGTGTCAATAGAAGTAATACGGTCAAAATAAACACACAGATTATACGAAAATTTAATAATAAGAAATTTTTTTTAAGGAATAGAAGGAGTACTTAATTTTGAGCTTGTATAGTAATAGTAAGATTAGTACTAGTAGTTGTATTCAAAGTTGAAAACCCTTGAAAACATTTGTGGCAAAATTCTCCTCGTTCAATGTGATAGCTCACCGTCCTTGACCCCTCCTTCCTTTCCCTTTTTCTTTTCCTACCTCTAATATTATTCTATTTATATTTATTTTCTAGAAAATACATCTATTTGGTCCGCAAAGCAAGACAATGACAAATCCTCGTGCTAATCATACTAGTCCTAATCTTCAATCACGTATTCACGTTCTACCTTTGTTATTTGCAAAAATCTTTGCATGTAAGTCCATCCTTTTCAATTTGGGACCCCTTAAACTCACACTACTATACTATTCTTCTACTCTAATCAAATAGTATCTTAACCATTTGTTTAATCAAATCATAACCACCTCGAATACTTATTAATTAAATCTCCTTAATCTTCCGTTAACACGAGGTACATACACGTATATATCGTAAGAGGATACGCACAAACACCCTTGCCCGCCCAGCATGTGGGATTAGATTTGGCTACGTACGTACACCTAACAGCTCATGATTAAATAACTAGTAAGAGTAGCAATTTTCTTATTCTTATTATCTGTCGACTTGAATTATGAGAATATTGTATTGACACGGAATATTTATTTCTGAGTCCGGAAAGGATATATTATTAAAACTATACTTGACTAGAGTCTGAAAAGTGATTGTATAATATTTAATGATTTCGCGATATTCAAGAGATTACGCAGACAGTTGCAGAGATAATGAAGACAGCAATACAACATTAGTCTACGAATAAAGTCAATAAATACATCCCCTAATGCACAGTATTAGTATTAGCAGTATTAGATTCTACATTATAGTAATACCATCTGGATTTTGTCTCATTAGTGGAAGCATATAAATAGGGATTTGGGTGGGAAGATTCCAGGTTAATCAACATTATTTAAAATAACAGATTAATTAATTAAATTAGAAAGCAACGTACCATGTGAGAAGGGTAATGTTGATTAGGTTGATAACCCATGTAGTCAAAGTAATTGTAGGTGGTAGGGCCCGTCGCGCCATAACCTGAACCGAAACCGGAACCTGGATGAAGTTGAGCTTGACCTTGGCTAGATAAAGATGAGCCATCAGAAGTTTGAGGCTCTTCATCTTCTTCTAAATCATCATCAATTTGGCATTCTAAATTAACCCCAAATAATCTCACCCTTTTTGAATTACCACCGCCTGATTTTCTTCCCTTTTGCCTAACTTCTGTCCCTACAAAATCATCATCATTATTTATACTATAATTATATTTAATTAATGGCTTTAACTAACTTTTTGAAACTTAAACAAAATCATATTATTATAATTGTTATTAAAATCGTGTAACTGAATTTATTTCATTAATTAATGTTATCCCACGTGCCTGATTAATTAGTCCTTTTTTTCCCTGATATAATTATGTAGGTGCGTAGTACTTTAATAATTATACGTCACCATCTAACTATACAAGTCTCATAGTATCATATAATTATGATTAAGATTAAGAGTATTATTAGAGTGATTATTATCTAGATTATTATACTTGTCAAACGAATTAGTTAGGCTGATTTCAGTGATTGAGTTTAGTCAAAAACAACTTTTTCAGATATTTTTAACAAATAAAAATACATATGACTAATTTATCAGATCAGATTATATTTGCCTGACTTTCAACATAACAAGTCAGAAAAATGTCAAGAATTTGTACTCTTTGACAGTACAACAACAGCAAAGTGGTTTACTCTTCCTCATTTACTCCCTACCAAGTTTTTGATATGATCCCAAATGAACAAATAGTTTAAACAAAACTCAGGAATAAATCGTTTAAAAATCGTGGAATGAACCACATTCCTCCTAAGTAATTGGATGGTGTCAGTCACGCACTCCAATGAACGTAACCGTACATCTTCTTCTCATTTACTTCATAGTATTATTTTATTTAATTCAGAAAATATTTGGATATAAACGGATTTTTCGGGAAATAAACATAAAAGGGAAGAAATCATGATTTTATTTTATTTTTAAATAAAAATAAAAAGAAACACATGAAACAAAAATAAGGGAACAAAGAAACAAAAGAAGTCGAAACATCCAACTTGATGATGAGTTTACGATTACGAGACGATATTTTTCTTTTTCAATTTTATTTTCATTAAAAATTGAGTTTTTTTTTTTTTTTATTTTTAAATATTTGGGGTGTTTATTTTGTTAATAACGAAAAAAGTAGAGGAATAGTTTGTTTACCTGCATGAAGAGAGTCAGGACGGTAAGACGGAAATGAGGCAATTTGGTGTTGATGAGTCGCACCATTATTATAACCGTGCGACGGCGCAACGCTATAGTTACTCTGATGGTTGTTGTAACGAATTGGATTATTAGTTTGTGCCGGATGATGGTGATGAGGCGACGGGGCGGAACCGCGCCGTCGCCAACCGATAAAAAAGCGGTCGGATTCAAAGCGATGACGCTGAAACAAAACGACGTCACCGGCGTCAAGTTTCTTCTCTTTAACGTAACGACTCCAACCTTTAGTCAACACATAGCTTTGACTACTATTCCAGTAAGAGTACCGAAACTTCCAGCACTTTCCAGACTCATCTTCGAACCCTAGTAGGACACCGCCGCCGCCTGCGACGGCGCCGGTGGTTTTATCTCCGGAAGAATCTGCGACGGCGGTGGCGTTGGCGAGGGGGAAGTATTTTTCAGCGTGCTGTTTCGGGATGACGAGACGGTTTAATTTACCGACGTCGGAAGGGGTTAAGGGTTTTTCGAACATGTATTCTTGGTCGGCGGAGGAAGGGGAGGAGGAGGTTGTTTCGGATCGGTCAATGGCGGCGGTGGCGGTGGAGGTGCTGTTGTTATCGGAATCGACATCGTCGAGTTTTGATGAGAGTGAAAGGGAGGAGTGGTAGAAGAAGGGGAGGGGTTTTTGGTGGTGGTGGTGGTCCATTGTAGTTGGGGTGTACCAGAGTGTATCGGATGAAGGGAGGTTTAAGGAGAAATGGCTCATTTGGGATTTGGGATTTGAGAGAGAGAGAGAGAGTGAAAATGAATGTGTTTAGGAGTTGAAAATGAATGTGTGTTTTTTTGTGGGATGAGAAGGGGAGAATATATCAAGGGGTGAGGAGAGAGAAAGTGAGAGAGATCAAAGGGTGATTTTGTGTTTGATTTTGATTTTGAAAGGAAATGGGTGAAAATAAATGTTAATTCAAGAGAGAGAGAGAGAATGAGTAAGAAAGAGAAACAATTTAAGGTTTTGGTGTAATCATCTCAAGTATAAGTATCCTCCCTTTCTTTTTTTTATAAAGTGTTTTATTGAGACTTTTTACGCTATTTATCTAATCAACGCTTGTAAATTATACTCTTATCAGTAAATGTAGAAATTATTTCAATGAATAGATTATCAATATTCAATTGGTATACTCCGTATTCTATATTATTTTTAGTAATTAAAGATATTATTGGCCAATGTTTTGCATCTGTGCGTGTCTAAACTCTAATAAAAACACTTAAAAAAAGCGGAGGGGGTAATTTTTTTATTAAGAAGAATTGACCAGATCTGACTAATTTTTATTTACACACTAGTATTAGTGTTTTTTTTAAAAAAATAAATAAATAAATAAAATAAATAAATAAATAAATAAAAATTGGTGATGTTATAGGATCTTTAGTAGGGTTGCGAAGAAGGTTGGAGTGATCTAAAATGAAGAAGTTGGTTAGAGTCAGATCTGTACAGATAAGAGTTATAACATAAGATATGATTAATTTGTTATATAAACATGCAATCGGATGAGATGATTTGCGATTTGTGGAGAATCCTCGGTGATACAAAATATTACTCTGATATGTTACATAATTTTAAATGTATCATTTTAGATCAGATTATATATTATAAATAAATAGGAGATTTGAGGTTTTTGAATAATCATCTCAAATCTTCCTTTTCTTTATTTATTTATCTTTAATTATGATTGTGTGGATAACTTATGTAAATATGTAATGATAAAGTTAGACAGTTGAGCTTGGTACCCTAACTAACAATGTAGATTGTATGAGTTTGATTGACAGTAGTTCGTGTCGACATATGAACATCATTACTAATTCGGATCAATATCAAATTTACTAATATACAATCATAATTTAAATTAATAATTTATGAAAGATAATAATTTTAACTGTATAAATTCGATGAAAATTACATAATTATGTTTTAATTGATCGATTTCATAGACAAAATAAATAATGTACTACTTATTTATTTCGGACCTAATTCAATTAATTGATATTTAATTTATGTAATTCTTTGGTGATTGATTTTTTTTTTTTTCTTAGTTCATTTTTTTTTTTTTTTTTTTTTTTTTTTTTTTTTACAAAAATTATCTTTATTTCAATTTCAAGTGAAGAGGGGTGTTGTAATCTTTTATAGTGGACATTACAATCTCTGCCCTTTACTTATATAATAGAGATATGTATTACACATAGTCATGTTGAGTATTATTTGTCTCAATAATTATTTTTATTAATAATAAGATGTTATATTATTTTTTAAATTAATATAGAGCTAAAGATAGTTATGGTCAAAATTATGCATTTTTGACAAACTTGCACAGCCAAAATTGGAAGAACAAATAGGATCGAGTGGGGAAGTATTAATGAAAAATGGTTCAGCCTTAGTCTGTATTTAGTTCACCTTATTTTTCCTTTTATTTTTCTAACCCAAGACTTTATTTTTTAAAAAAAATTTGATTTGATCTAAAATTTTTTGGATCTAATCTGATGGATTTGACTAAACTTTAATCTTATATCCACGCTAATCCATAACAAAATTAAAACATATACCACACAGAGTCTTATTAGATTTATATGAATGTGTATTTTCAATTATATCATTTTTTCATTACGAAATTAAAGATATTAAATGATAAAAAAAAATTGCACATATATAATAAAGAATAATATGATTTTTTTTTTCTGATATTATCTGAAGTAAAAGTTTTAAGATGTTTAGATTATAAGATGAAGTAAACATATATGCCCTAAGTAAGAAGTTCGAGAGTCGATATAATTAACAGTATACTACCTCTGTTTTTTTTTAGTTTTTTTTATCATGCTTGTCAACGCACAATTTTAACGATAATATCTCTTTTTGACATTGTAAAATTATAAAAAGTGGGTATTAATAAAATATACATTTAGACAATTCAAACACGATCTCAATTGACTATGTTTCGTTGTAGCTATAAATCACAAAAGCTAGTCAAAGTATAGTTTGTGAATGGTGTAAAAGTCAAATGGTGTCAACTAAAAAAAACGGAGGAATGATTCATTTTGAATTTTATTCATGTGTTAGGAGTAAACATTTAAATCTTGATTTAAATTTAAGAGGTTATCATGATTATTGATTGATTACTTAGATTAGGAGCTACACCCTCTGTCCTTAATTTTATGCCCCATTTGAATATTTGACTTTTCACCATCTACAAGATGGACGGAGAAAGTAGTTATCTAAGGAGTTAAAACCCTAATCAAATCACCAGTAGCGAGTGTTTGATTGGTTTTCTATCGAGGCTTATTCATCATATATACTATGTGAGTAACCTTTGATATTACTTTCTCAGTTTTAGAGCTTCAAATCTTAAATTTTGATCAAGCTACAACTAGAGCTGTCAAAAGCTGACCCGACCCGAAATACCGACCCTAACCCGACCCTAACCCTAACCCGTTTGAACCCGAAAAAAATGGTGACCCGAACCCGATCTGAAACCAACCCTAGACCTGAGTTGACCCGAGTATTTGAGACCCGACCCGAATGTGACCCGTAAATTATTGACCTGAACCGAACCCGACTCGAACCCGAGAATGACCCAAACCCGATTTAACCCGTCAAAACCCGAATTCAACCCGACCTGTTACTAACCCGACCCGTTCCAAACCCGACTCGAATTTAAACCCGACCTGTTACAAACCCGACTTGTTATTGATCCGACCCAAATTCAACCTGACTTGTTATTGCCCCGACCCGAATTTAAACTCGACCTATTACTAACCCGAATTTAAACTCGACCTATTACTAATCCGAATTTAAACTCGACCTATTACTAACCCGAATTTAAACGTATTTGAGGCTATATGAGGTGAGTGAGGTGAATCGATGATAGTGATTTTGTCTAATTAAATCAGCCATATGATTTTTTTTTTTCTAAAATTATCTTCAAAATAAACTTCCATATAACTACTTATAATCCTTTTATTGACCCTTTTTTTCAAATTTTAGTATTCACTTGTTTATTTTAATATTTTTTTAAATGTTTTAATTAAGGGAAATTCTCAATGGTAACTTCTTACTATTGCTTATTCTCAATGGTAGCACTCTATTTTTTAAAAGTTGCAACCGTAACCTTAATGATATTTTTCCGTTAAATTTCTGTTAAATCTATTTTTTTATTTTTTATTTTAAGAATCTAACTTAATTTAAACTAAAGTTAATTTTTTTTTATAAAAAGTAAATAAATAATAATACCCACCCCTTCCCCTTCATTGCCCAGCCACCCTCCCCCTCCCTCCCTCCCAACCACTTTCTCATTCCCCCTCCACGGTTCCACCAATAATCCACCGGTGTTTCTCCCTGTTGTTCGACACCCCACCAGGCCATCCTCTTTCCCCTATCCCCTCTTTGCATGCTTGAATTTCATCTTCTTCTTCATCTCAATTGTTGTCGCCGTTAAATTTGAATTATATGCGTCAATGTGGCCGAAATAGGGGATTGGAGAGAGAATTACACAGGAACTTGATTTGAATCCAACGTTGAATCTGTGCGAGAAAAAATGAAGATGATTTTCATCAAATTCTAGGGTTTTAATTGGGGTTAACTTTTATGATTGTGATTGAAAGAAATTGAGGATTTATCGACCTCCATTTTTGTTGAATTTTAAGCAGTTGAGGTGCGGCGTTGGGGCTATGATAGTGGTGTTGGTGTGAAAGCCGCAATTTGTGTGGCCGTTATTGTGGATTGGAGTCAAGAGAGGTGGCAAATGGTGGTTATTGTAGGCTGTTGTAGTTGTACATGGTGGTTGTTTGGTGGTTGTTTATGTGTAAGTATTGATGTTGTTGTTTTGGGCTGGTTTAGTTGACTTGAAGGGGTGGCATTGCGGTGGAAGTAGGACATAGAAGGGGTGGGTGTATGTGGACTGTGGAGGGTGTTGTGGTGGAGGGTTTGGGGTTGGAGATGGCTTCCATGGAATGAAGGGGAGGAGAGAGAAAATAGTTAAGGGTAAAGAGAGATAAAATGTTTGATAATAGTTAAAGTTAACGGATCTTTAACGGTTTAGAGGTAATAAGGTTACAGTTGCAACTTTTAAAAAGTAGAGTGCTATCATTGAGAATCCAAAAAAAAATTGGCTACCATAGAGAATAAGCAATAGTAGGAGACTACCATTGAGAATTTCCCTTTAATTAAATTATGCAATTTGATTTGGAGCTTTAAAAAAAAATTTAAAAAATTTATTGACTTAAACCGAACCCAACTCGAACCCGAGAATGACCCGATCTAGAAAATGACCCGACGTGATTATAACCCGCAAATTATTGACTTGAACCAAACCCGACTCGAACCCGATAATGATCCGACCTGATTATAACCCGCAAACAATTGACTTGAACCAAACCCGACACGAACCCGATAATGACCCGACCTGATTATAACCCGCAAATAATTGACTTGAACCGAACCCGACTCGAACCCGAACAGGACCCTAACTCGTTTAAACCCGTAAAAACCCGAATGTAACCCGACCTGTTTTTCACCCGACCCGAATGTAACCCGACCTTTTTTTGACCCGACCTAAATCCGACCCAAACCCGATAAGATGTATGACCCGACGTGACCTGACTCAAGCATGACCCAACCCGAACCCGACCCGCATAGGTCCCGACATTAACCCATACTGACCCGACCCGCACTAACCCGACTCAAACCCGACCCATTTACCCGAATTGACAGCTCTAGCTACAACTAAGGGCCTGTTCTCATTGACTGAACTGAATTGAGCTGAGCTGAACTGAACTGAATATTTTATAAGAGAAGAAAATTAGGAGTTGAACTGAACTAAATTAAACTGAATTTCAACGTAAGAGAACAGACCCTAAATTATCATGGACTCATGGTGAGACTCATGCTCATGTTATTTCCATGTTTTCTCTTCTCTCGTTTATGCTACGTTATCTTTTGAACATAATAGCCACAAAATTTAATCATATAATCAAAAAAAGTGAGAATGGCATTGCATTATCTTAAACAACTTATAAAATGGATTTTTCAAGATCAAGTGCACATTCCCCATAATAACATGAATATCAACTAGTTAGGTTGATTTAAAACGATACTAAATGCAC